GAACTCGAAAGGGAAGCAGCGGCGAGTGGGACGTCAGTGCAAGGGTGACATGGAGGAGATCGTGTGAAGAGGAATTGAAAAAGTATGGACTAACATGGATTCAGGTGAAAAGTACAACAGAAGGAAGACAGAAGCAAGTGGAGACGTGCAGTTGAAGCCTTATGTTCCACTAGGAACCCGAAAGAACAATAACAATAATACCTCAATTACTCAGAACAAACTTCGCATGTTCTGCACCATAAATCACACTAAATACGTGAGGAATGATCATGCTACCCAGCTGCTTCCTAGACTAAAGTAGTTGCGTAGGGGTTCGAATTAGGGATTCATTGTTAAAACGTTTACTGCTTAAGCCACTGAATCACATTCGCATTAATACTTCAGTGAAGTAAAAGAATTCCATGGGAGGAAGATGTCGGGATGATTGTCTCATTCCATATGAATGGAATTGTGAGGTAGAGCAGTAAGTAGTGATACTGTTCATCCACTACAGTTTGCACCGTTTCTGTTTCCGATTCTAATATCTTAAAGTTTTTACCAAGTGTTTGGGTGGTTTATCACCTGCTCACCATTAAACGCTTATTGATTATTCTGAGTACTGTACCTTATCAAAGGTTTCATGTGTTTGACTGCATCAACAAAAAATGTCGGGAAAACTAAATAACTAAACAGCTGCCCAGAATGTTGCCCACCGTCTTGAGAAATTGACTTCCAGCCACTAGATCTTGTTGGGTTTCAAACCCTCTCCAAATAATGAAGCCTGCACATACTGTCGCCAGTATAAAGAACAAAACTAGGATTTCCATTTAATTGAATTTTAGATTTTTCCGTCGACTGAATGGATCAAAATGCTTAGTCTCAGATGACGAGTCTCAAATAGGATGAAATGCGCATCCTGGATTTCACTGCTAGTCACCATCCACCAATTAACCTCTAATAAATGTTAAATAAGTTTTTCTCTACCGGTCAATCACTTGATGTGCCACGAAATGCATTTTGAACAGGTTACGTCAGATCTTCATCAAAAACTGCTTTTTCTGGCTGCAGACTGAAGACCAGATAGCCAGAAACAATCAGCAACAATAAACTCTGGTAGGCACAGAACCAACCAAGAACTTATTGCCCAAAAGATTTGTCGAAGAAAACTGAGGCGTATTGGATACACACGAAGAAAACCGTTAAGTAACATCTTACTGTTAGCCCAACCCTCGAGTGGAGTCCGAATGGGTAACAGCTAGTCGAGCAAGTGTTAGAGGATAAATGGAGAGGATGAGAGATTATGGGCATTCGTGGACCCATCTGAAGGGGAAAGCATCAAATAGGAGAAAGTGGGGATGCGTTGTTGGAGCCTCATGTTCTACTGGGAACTCAAGGGAATGATAATCATAATCAAGTTGTGATTTATAGCTTGGAATATCAGAAATCTGCTCCGAAAAACAGAATTCTAACCATTGAGAGTGTTTTAGCACTGAAATTCGAGCATCACTGTATGTTTCTGCTTGTAAAAAAACCACGAGAAAAAATATTGGCACACTTCTATACTGGATCCTATTTAAGGACTAATGAAACAAACTAAAGTGAATACTTTGTTTGATCGCCAGCTGAAAGGTGTTAAATTACTAAGTATTTGTTTCAGCCCTCCGCTAAACAATAGCATTAATATAATAATTGCGTTTGATTTTGGATACATGTTTCAATAAACATTGATACATTGAATATAGTCAAGTATTTATTGTTTTTTCTTTTCTTTTACTGGGTAATTAATAGAATTGGCTGTTAATTTGAATTAAGCCAGCGAAAATTTAATATTAAGTGTTCGAATAAGGAGGAAAAAAGAGATAAATCTATAGAATAGTGATTCATGTGAATAAGATCTAGAATATTCTTAAATCCCCCAGTCAGAATTTGAGCTATGCCAGAGGAATCGAGTTCGCTATGCATAAAGAGTATAATCCAGGACTCATAAAGTAGATTTCGTTAAGAAAAAGTACCTAAAAGTAAACTATAGCCGCAACTAACTTAGGTATTCCCAGTGGAACATGGTACTTCACCAACCCATCTCCACTTTGTCCTATTCCCTGAAGTCCTCTACAGCTGGCCCGACGACTGCCAAGAATCTATCATTTCCTTTTCTCGCAATCTCCTCCCATCTCATCCCCCAACCCAAGCCCAAGTCGTTGTTTCTCTTTTGAGTTCCGCTTGATTTATGGCCTGGCTCTCAATGACACCCAACGTTCTATTTCACGTGTGTCCGATCCATCTTTATTTTCTGCGAAATATTTTTTTTTGAATAATTACCCCCTCCCCTGATTGGTTTGTTCCCACAATTTCTTGTTGCTAATTATTTTTGGCTATCTGATCTTCAGTTTGAAGTGAAGGCAGCTATTAATAATTGCCTACAGCTTTCCGGGAGTGCCCTTCATGACGCGCTAAATTTCTGACCCACATAGAATGACTGACTAACTCAACATTCGTGGTGAAAATCCAAATATTGTTCTTTATGTTGAAGAGTACGGAAGATTCCCAAACTTGTTTCAGACTGATGAAGGTTTTTCATATCTTGTCATGCTAATTAATGGCGTTACTTTCACGAGGAAGTGCCAGTAAATATTGCGTAAATTTAAAACAAACAAATGTTTTGATATCCTTGCTCTTCTAAAGACTTTTTCCAAGCATACACTTCATTTTTTACTTGAGCTAGCCTGGTCTGTTCTGATTGCCTGCTTCAAAGTTAAGAGATTGGTTGTTCACTTGAACCTCTACTGCTTAACGTCATCGAAGGGATTGACATAAAATCTAAGCTTCTGACTATATATCGACTAGTAGTCACATCAGATGAAGAATGTCTACTTCGCCCACACTAGTGAGATATCATCTCTGTAAGTACTGAGGGAGACTTGAATCCAGGATTGCTGGTTTTAAATGTCACCATTTTTTGAAGAGGACAGTTCAGTTACCACTGGTATGTATGTATTCCATGACTACGATAGCCAAATAAAAGGCAATATCGATAAGTCTGTAAAAGTAGCTTCATTTCTAGACAACAGTAGCTGAGTTAGAAAAGTCAACAAAACAGCAAAGAATAAATCTGATACTCACTAGTGACTGGCTGCAGCATGAAGTTGCCTGGATTTCTAGTGAGAAATCGCTACCAATGGGGACAAATACTTGTCACCAATGACACTAGCTGGTGGTTGCATTAAACTCAATAACTGGTAGAAGTTAAGATTCAGTGATCGTTCAGTCGAGCTCCAGTGAGTGAATGGTCTGCCAGGTAGATGTGTGCTGCTGGTGAGTCTCAAATTAGGGCGAAACAACTGTCCAGTATTCCCTGCTGGTTTTAAATGTTTCTTTAACCCAAAATCAATCCGTAAAGAATCCTAAGATGCAGGTATCACAATTAATGTAAAGATTACCTAACTTTAGCTATAAATGTACATATTTGGCTTGTAAGAAAAATAGGACGTTAGAATTAAAGATTAGAAAACACCATAAACTTTGAATATACATTGTATCCTGAGCGATAACTTTAAATGTCACCATGGCCATTATTCCAATTATAAGAAACAACTGTGTCTAGGGTATCTGTTATGGTGAAAGCAATATTCTTCATTTATTTTGATTAATTTGCAGTTAGGTGGAAAAATTGCCTTCAAGGTTTGAAGGTTTAGCAGCACTGGGGCTCAAACTTCCAGTTTTCACTTGCTTACTACTGGCTGGTGAGGCAGACGGGGTAAAGGAGTACACTGGCTGCAACTGATGAGAATTCCACCACCACCAAGCCATCAACTCATATATTTTGAGCTACATTTAGGTGTAAAATCAGCTACTGATTTGCACTGTACCGCAACACACAAGCTTACGGTGATCAGCTGTCTTCTGGATAGTACCCTGCCAATCCAAAGCTATCTTGGATAGTTCCACTATTGCATTGGATTCTTTCCGTTTGGTCAAACGGTCACTGGGCTCATTAAGAGACCCGAAGGCCATGGGTTCTGTCGCTGATTGAGTTATATAGGGTGCATGTTGTTGAAGAGTCCCAAACTAGGGCGAAACTGCCTATTACTCTGTGATTTTCACTACTTCTCAAAGTGATGTCAGTTCATGATCTACTTTAGGGCCTATAGGATTTGAATGGATGCAGGATTTCATCATGAGCTGAAATCAGCTACAGAACCATTAGAAAACCTGGGAGTACTGGACAGTCGTTTCGTCCTGGTTTAGTACTCTTCATCAGTATGCTCCCACCTCCATAGATCGAACCCAGGATTTTCTGGTTACAAGGCAAGCTCGTAGACCATTGAGCCACTGAGACCTGATCCAGTGGTTCTCTAAATGATGTCAGCTCATGATGAAATCCTCCATCCAATCAAACAAAATCCCTTCAAAACCAAAATCGAAGAAAACGGGATTTTTAGCAAGTGTCTCAAGCTCTGTCAGTGAATACAGACGTAATCAACCCATTGAGGTTATTTGCTCTAGTCATCGACCTTATGTTGCCTCTTATTATACAGCGAATGTACTTCATGTTGACATTTTAATCCTAGAATCAGTTTCCACACAACTCTTAACCTGATTGGTGTTTTGTGTAAGTCACGCAGGTCAGCCTCGAAAAAAATCAACAGACAAGGATATTTATATGATTGGCTAACTAAATGTCTTCAAGATCGAATTAGAATGTAATTTTTAATATGCTTAACGTATAGACCGAATTCCAGAAAACAAGGAATTGAAATTATAAAACTAATGCATGCAACTAATAATTAACTTCTCCACACTTTAAAAACAAACTGAGAGAAGGTATTTTAACCAGTAGAGTTTGTTTTAAAAACAGAATGTTTCTTTTTCATTGAGGGGGGAGGGCGGAAAGGAACTAGCATAAAAGTAGTCAAGCATCCAAATGTTAGTTAGTATTAATCAGTCAGAGTTATGTAATGCACATGCATACATGCAGTAGATATAAAAGAAGTGAAGAATGAATTGAAGTATGCAACACTCACTCCGATGTTTTAAGCCAGTTTCAAAATCCACATGTGGTAAATGCTTTTTCAATTGTTCAATGTCGCTGCCATTAGTCAATGTACTGACTCCTGCTAATTTTTGTTTTAATAAAGTGATAGATAAAATGGAGCGTAAAATGAAAAACTGGCGCATTTCCATAGTATATATATATATATATCTTCAGACTATCCGAACAAAATTTCTGTTTTGAAAATTCTATGAAGACTAAACCACCTGCCTTAGAGTTATTTGTTACGATGCCGTTTAAACACCATTCAGATTATCCTTCATCTGAGTGACGCCAAAAAACACGCAGATCTTGAACAGTGAAGTATTACATAATTTCCTATGATGCAAATTATGTAATTATGTGAATTATACCTCTGTTCCACTTAGTTGTATGACATCACCTCCTGTCGACTATTCAGCTGACCACATACTTCCATTTCCTGTTTACATGCTGTCCTGCCCATTGCTCCTGGACATTCAACTCACTATTTCCTAGTTGGATCTCACTTGAATGCCTAATGTTTGATGTCATTCAAAGGTATATTCAGAGTATGCACTTCAGTCTTCGTTAATAGATGGTTTGTAAAGAGGGAATTGTAGAAGTCGTTATGTAAAACCTGGAAAATTTGACCTCTAGTTTGGATTTTAAGCTGATTCTTTATTTAATATAACTGCATGGTGAGTACAGCACTCCTAGGAGTAGTACTACCTCTCACGTGGATGATATTGCTGTAACTTTTTTCTCTGAGAGTGTTGATTTAATTGAGCAACTTTCAGCTACCTTCTGGACGAAATTTCCAACTCTAACGTCAATATGATGTTAGCTTTAAGAATTCTTCATCGGAGTCATGACCACCTTTCTTGGCTATCTTTAATGTGATTGGTTGTCTTCGCGTTTCAAGCCAATAGAAAAATTAGTAATCAGTGCAAATTAACCAGATGAAAAAGTAGATCATCGGAGAATTCTAAACTCTCACTGCGTAATGAAGCAGCTGTAAAATGTCCAGTACAAAAAATACAACTATGTCAAATAATATGATTGTGTACATACAATGTCACCTCCTCATAAAAAATACATTACGTCTTCTACATGTTCAGCTACAGTTCACAAACTAGGTTTTCGACTTCAGAGAATATACATCGATGAAAAGCCTGGATATTTAGAAAAAGCTGACACCTACCGAAAGCTCCCGGTTACCATGAAAAATAATTGCGTTCAATTTATTCTCTGAACTGGGATGTTTAGTTCAGAAGTTTTTGTTGTCTATCTGAACAACATCTTCAGTGCACATTTGAAATTGAAGTGTCTTTTCGAATTTCTCACGAGTTTATTGGTCATCTCTCATGGTAACTTTGAGCGGGATTGATTGTTTTTGTGCAGTTTCTCACCCTCAAGTCTACTAATATAGTTCTTTATATATAGTAGGACAATTGTTTTATGTTTTCATCGGGGGATTTTTGATTTGGTTGGTTGTGCTGAGGATAGATAACTTTTGATGAAGTCTTGCGAATATTCATATTTGTGGAAGAACATCTGTGAAACATTCTAAAAGTTTACGAATCTCTGTCGCATACCAACCAAGAAAATCACTTCACTATGTTCTATATCACCCAAAAGACTCACCAGCGAAAGACCTAACCAATATCATCTACAAGAAAAAGTGCCACGACTGCGAAAAACATTAATTTTGCCAGAGTGAACAGCCTCTTTGTCTTCACATTCATGAACATAAAAAGGGTATCAAAAGACACGATATGCACTCCCACATACCACTGCATACAAACAACCAAAGAGACCAATTTGATTGGGACTATGTTCACATCTTATACACAAGAAACAACAAAAACGTCAGTGAATTTCTGGAAGCCTGGTATTTAAGTGAACTGGCAATCAACCGACACACTCACATAGACAAGATTTACCAATCCATAAGAAAGAAATCACACGAACAACACAGCAAACTTCAGGTCAAAAGCACAAACAATATTAATACAAATGAACTGGAGGTTGAGGAAATATATAAAAACAACCAATCACATCCAAGGTTATCATGAGAGATGACCAATAAACTCGAGGGAAATTTGAAAAGCTCACTCCAATTTGAAATGTGCACTAAAGATGTTGTCTAGATAGACAACGAAAGCTTCTCGACTACACCCTCCAGCTCGAAGAATACAATCACGCGAAAATCCTCCTCCTGAGTGATGAATCCTTTCCATTATATCTAATATGGAATTACATACTACCACAGTACCCAAAAGTTTACACATATATTAACCGGAATTCAAGGTTATAGATCCATAAAGGAGAAACAGTCAGTTAAATAAATTCTCATTTCCACAAAATGTGGTTAGACGTTTGACGGTGCATCATCAAATAATTCTAAAATTTTTAAATGAAAAACGTGTACTTCCAGATGCCTATACTACTCACAAAAAGACAGTAGCTAGTTTAATGACTTACCTATTTCTGTTGTAGGCGAAGGCATATCTGTCCTCCAAAAAAAGTCTTCACAAAAAGGGATTGATTCGGTTTGTCAGAAGGATGATGAAATTCTATAAAAATGTAAAAACAGAATGGTCGAAAGAATTTACAGTGAGAGAAATTCAAGGGTGAATAACTCTATTATAATTTATTATTATCCCCTTAGGTTCCTAGTGGAAGATAGGGCCTCAACAACACATCTCCACTTTATTTTGTTCTCTACTGTCCTCTTTAGCTAACCCCACGATTACCCATACTCTCTCATCCTCCCACTCACACGGTCTCCTTCATGCCACCCTCGCACCGAAGACCCACTTGTCACTTCCCACTAGAATTCTATTCAAGCTATGGTCTGAGATTCGCGCGGTATCATTTGACGGCCTCCTCAACGTATGCCCGATCCGTCTCCATTTTACCCACATATTTGCTGAAAAATCGTCTTTGATTTGGTTTGTTGCCAGCTAAAGTTTCGTGCTGACGATTGGCTATCATGGAAAACGTGCTTCCCAGATAAGTGAAGGAGGCTGGTTGTTGTTGTTGCTGCTGGTTGGCTATCTGCATCACTGACGTCTTCTATGTGTTCACCTGGAGTCCAGTCTTCACCGGCTGCTTCTCAAGCCAGTTTGTCAGCTTTTCTTGGCAAGTCTTCGAGTTTTTGTGACATTAAATATAACCAATCTGCGAAATCCAGATCTTCTAGAGTCTTCTAATCGGTCCAACATGAATAAATCTAAGATGATTGGAAAGATGGGCACTGGTTTGAAGTGTTTCTAAGATCTCTGTCACACACTAGGAATGCAGACTAATGCATCTAAATAGTTCTTAATTGGATGAAATGCCCATGCTAGATGTGACTGATAGTTACTTTCAGTCAAAGAACATCATGTACGCAGGATGTTCTTCTAAATACGACAGTTAACATTCAAACAACAAACGGCAGACCGCCGGAGTGGAGAACTCTGGTGTTTATACGATGATGAGAGACATCAATTGGGTGAATAACCTAAATGATGCATAAACATTCGAGCAATATACCAGACTCATTTAGCCTCATACTTCTTAAAATGAATTTATATAACATCAGTCTCCAAGGGATCCTGGACAACTAATCAAAATGGTGAGGTGAAAATGCTCATAACTTCATTAGCTAATTGTAGGTCTAGGCGTATACACTAGTGAAGAAAGTCATTCTCTCTAACCCAAGCGTTAACCTAACCTAAACCCTAATCTAGCCTGTGGCCCGAACCTAAACTTAACAAAAGTGTAAAACCAGTAGAGAGAAAGACATGAATAGCATTCGTGGTAAGAGACGTTACTAGCTACTTCAATGTCTTTCTGAAAGATCACTGTGGTGGCTACTGCCCTACAAATTCATGATCTTTATTAGGGTGGATTATGCATTCACCAAAGCTATCCAATTAGAGAGACTCTTATTTCAGACAAATAAACCAAATTATCAGTATCAGCAGGTCAGTTCTTCGTTTCCCCTCACTTTACATTCTGAGTTGAATATAAGACCTCAGGCTTTAGCTGTATAGTTTAAGTGACGATGCTGTTATCCTCTTATTGTATGAGACTGCTAGTCTCATTCCTGACCTCGCTTCTTCATTTGGCTTACAACTGGCTAAATGAGGTTTACAAAATGCACTGATCGGAAAGTGAACTCGGAACCACATGTGTGGTTGGTGAGCATTCCAGCAATGAATCACTGATGCACCAATCACGATTATACTGGTGTGCACTGGATAATTACTTATGTTTAGTTGTGTTTTTTTAACCATATGGAGACTGATCATATTTTCAAAAGATCAACTAGTTCAGATATAAAAATGAAAGCATAAGAAGAAATTAATGGGTAGAATTCTACTGGCACCAACAATTTGCCCATACAGCTTTGGCTTCATATGGCGATATGTGATGATCGCCAAGAGGGCACAGGTATTCTTATGCCAAAGATGCTTTGGTCAGCCGAAGATTCATACCACTGAAATGCAACCGACCAACTAGAGGAAACTAGAGAAACTAGTTTGTATTTCTTTTATCCCTTTATGTTCCCAGTGGAACATAGGGCTTCAAGCTACATGCTTGAATTTTCGGTAGCAGTGGTGTATAGTTTTTTACGAGATCGGGTTGCTAGTCTCATCGCAAACCTTCCCGCTTTACTGGTCTTATTACTGGCTTAGAGAGGCAAAGGAATGCGTCTGCCGGTGATCGAACCCTGGATCATATGTGTGGTCGGTGACGATTCAACCGCTGTGCCACCGACGCACATCTGTGAAACTAGCTGATAAACACAACGGAATGGGAAAAAATTGTTTAGTTACTCAATAAAAATACTAAATACTAGAATTAACGTCTAACAAGAAGTTGTTTCAAATCAAAGTAAACCAGCTGGTTGTTTTTTTTTTGGTTTGCATGTCCTCGAATAGAATTAAACTCAGAAACATTTTTTTATTAGAAGGGAAAAGATAAGAACAATCCTCTCCAGTCTTTTGAATTGCATGTAAACTCTGAAATATTTTCAAACGCAACTTAGTCCACACTACTGATTATAAGGTCTTAAATAAACTAGTCAATATTTAACATTCTGAGGTGTCTTCGTATTAGTTTGGGCAAATTATTCACTGAACAGCGGTAGGTATAGATTTTAGACGATAGAATGGGTTCTAGATATTATCAGTGAGAAGCTAATTCCGCATTCGTTTCAATTGAAGTTTCATTTGAATTAAGTATACGTTTGGGTTTAAGAAAAGTACTGGTGTGAGAAATAATAACAATAATTTTATTCTGAACAAAATATTTACAGTGTACAGAATTCTCAGGGTAATATATTACATAATATCTTATCCTCAAGTAAACTAATTGTCGGTAGTATTTTCAAGAGTTAGTTTGCTATCACGAGTTTAACCACGGATATTTATCAGTTAGAGAACCATTGAGAACCAACCGGGAGTATTGGACAGCTGTTTCCTCCTATTCTGAAAATCATCGGCAGTATGTACCCACCAAACTGGAGTTCGAACCCACGACCTTCAGGTTATAAGGCAAGCTCGTATACCATTCAGGCACTGGGACCTGATTCAATGCCCAACCCATGAATTCTTACTTCTACTAAATCGTGATTTAGCGCCACCACAAACCGATGTCATCGGTGGGACATTCATCCCCTACACTTGACTGGTTGGACCTCACTGGTCGCCACTTCCCACTGGAACTCCAGGAAACTCCGTCCTGTAGTAAGTCACTAGCGAGCATCAGATTAATCTTCAAGAGTTGGTTTATAAGGTTTAGATTTGTGAGTCAAGTGTAAGGATAAATGTCCCATCGATGACATTGGTTAATGGTTACGCTAAATCACGAATTGTTAGAAGTTAGAACTCGTGCGCTAGCCTCTGAATCCAGTCCCAGCAGCTGAATGGTATACGAGCTTGCCCTGTAACCTGAAGGTCGTGGGTTCGAACTCCAGTTTGGTGGGCACGTACCGCCGATGATTCTCAGAATAGGAGGAAACAGCTGTCCAGTACTCCCGGTTGGTTCTCAATGGTTCTCTAACTGATAGCAATCCGTGTTCAGACTCGTTAAAGGTCACCCGGCACAACACCTTTAAATCTGAAGCATAGATCAATGTCTCATGATATAGTTTCTCTGCGTCTCCATGAAGTGCACACCAGGTTGTTTGAAAGACAGATGAAAATATATATTAGTACACTTTACAACTGAAGGACATAAATAAATGATTAAGGCAATAAGAATTATAGAATATTTGATGCATTATGTTAGATAACCTAATGATTCAAGCAGGCCGCCAAATTTCACACATGAAAAGTAACTTATCGACGCCAGCTGACGATGTGAAACTGTAACAAGAATTATGTACAGTCAATATTTCCTTCTAGTTGGTGAGAGAAAATTAAAGTGACTGCTTTGTAATTAGGTAGTCCTGGTATCAATCAGTCATTAAGTTACCATAAACCAAAGACTCTCGAAACGTATTCCAGTGCAGTTACGTGGATGGTGTAAGGCTACTGTTAAACAGTCGCCGGCGCACCCATACTAGAAGCCAGTAAGTCAACAGAAAGTGAGTACTTTGCTCCGATAAATACCGATCAGCCTGATGTTCAGTATAACTTTGACAAACACCATGATTGTAGATAAGCCAGGAAATCATACTTTCTTTCAGTGATTAGTATTCAGTTGAAGTTTAGCTCGTCATTTATTGAGGCATTTTCCCAAATCCTACACACTATTCAGTACTATCATTTTCCGAATGTGTTGTCTCAGGGAAATGAAATTCTGGATAAAATTTCGTTACTGATTCTTTCGGTGAAATTATTGATTTACTCTTTAGAATGATGAAATAAAAGACATCCCAAGTTATTGCGTAATTGTTATTGGACTATATTTTTATTATTATTACTATCATTTCATTCTTATTTTTTGAATTACGGAGTTTCTTTTAATTGTTGGAAAACTACGCAATTAAGCAATTTGTGACCTGTTTTCTGTTTTGCATCTTCAAAAAACAGCTTAGTATTCAACAGGATTACTCATTAACCCACTAAATTTATGTTAGACGGCTGAAGGCAATCGGTTGGCAGCCTTGAACCTCAGTTTCGTGCTTATTTGGCAAACATTACAATTGTACAGGAGGTTGGTCGTGAGTAACGTCTATGAATGCGAAATTGGGTGACGCGAGTTTGAATCTCAAAGGAGTCATAAGTTCCTTGAAGGCTGCTGACATTTCTTGATGTTGAGTGTAAACAAGCAGAAAACAGAAATCCTAAGCTTATGTTCTCCTAATCACTTCCAGCCACTTAGCACCGACTCAGAATGCGTTGTGATATCCAGTCAATTTAGCTCGGTGACCACATTAGAAACTTGACTGATCGGATTCATGAACAACCCCCACCATCAATGAAAAGACAAAATAAGTAGTTGAGCGAGGAGTCTGTTTAAAGCTAATTCATCTTTAGCGGCACAGGTGCACTGAAATTTAAGTTTTATCCACAAATGAGGATGGTAATAGGAGTGATGAGCTGTCACAGCCATAGTTACCAAATATTAGCCAATA